CAGCCCTTCCCTCCCTACTTATGTCCACTGGACCTGTCCTCACATCCATGACTTCCCCCCCACACCCCATCAACTGCATCTTAATTCTGTCCATGAGGACAGACAGCGGTCCACACCTCACAGCGTACTTACAACAACTCCATCTGGGCATCCTGCAGCCCAAGGAGGGATCTGCATGAGGAACTATGTACCAGTTCTGTAGCATGTATTCAAGCTGATACAGTTTTTAGCATTATTTTTCTTCCTTATCTACACTCCTGCCCTAGCTGCAATGAAGGTCTCACTACAGTAGGGGCAGCCCAAATCACTTGCAACCTCTGCAGGCAAGGCAGAGAAAAGGAAAAACAAGAATTAAGTGGGGAAATTAATTAAATCAATTTATCTGGGTCTTCTAAGAAGTCAGGCCAGGATGATTTCCTGCTTAATTACTTAATCACAAGCATGTCCTTGCAAAATATTAATTTAAAAATACATTTCAGTCCCTCCCATTTCAGTCAGCCTCTCTAGACTTGCAAACACTGAAATGTACCACCTTGTGCCAAACTAATGGCATCGAAGTGGAGAAATGCCAGATCTCCACTGTATTTCCCAATGTACAGATTCATGTCCTGTTCCACTCCCCCAAGCTGCTGTTGTGGCTGGTAAAGTACAAAAAAACCAGACAGCTGCATACATTATTTGAGATGAAACATTCCTCAGTCATCCAGGTCAGACACTCATCTCCATGTCTCCCATGGAAGACTCGATAAAGAAGTGAGAATCTGTCTCCCAGGTTCTGTACTTTGTATTTGTAAGGACATTTGGCAAGCCCCAGATGCCAGATAAATAGAAACAATAACAGTTGACTTGTTGATCAAAACCAATTCATGACTCATTGTTCATGGTCAAAACCCTTGGCTGTGCAACAGGTGGGAATACTTCCTACTGGCTTTGAACAGTGCCAGTGATCTTGCAACCAGTTTCTCTCTGACGTCAGAAGTACATTCCCAAAAATACATTTTGAGAGACTTCCAACCCACCTGACAAAGGGAAGTAGTCTGGCAAGCTGCTCTACACTTTATTTAATAGGGATCCAGACTGTGAGGTGACTCTACTTCTAACCAAGAAACGCTGGTGAAAAAAATTCAGCCTTGTAGGAGACCTCTTTGGTGTCAGAACTACACAGAGCACAAACTGCAACACCTTCTTCTTTCAGTGCCAGGAAAAGCAAGGCCTGACGTGGGTGTTTCCAAGTCACCCGACTTTGAGATCTCATTTTGCTGGCCCTTGCACTGCTGTTCAGAGAAGATAGGACTTAGTTTGCTTGATTCTCCACTGAAAAATATTTGGGCTTCCAGTGGGGTTTGTACACAAGTGCAGAGATCTCTATCACCTCCTATTTTCTATCAAAGCTATAGTGGATGTCTGGAGATACCATCGTCCTTGACCAGGGGACTATGAAGTCTAGCTAAATAAGAAAGCAGGGACTTGAGTAATAACTCCTCTGAAGATATCCCAATACAAATGTATTTTTGCAGCTCCATATAAAGAACTTGCTTAGTAATGATACAAAACAGAGACAATATTATTTTGTTTTCATTTAAGTTTTGCACACTTGCTATTTTTTCACACCTGTACAATCAAGCTTCTCTCTCTTTTTGAAAAAAACTGAACTAATAAAATATTGTCAGTTTAGATTTTATCCCCCCTGTATTCCCAATCCTCAGGAATGAAGGGGCAAAGCAAGTTCTACCCCTGGTTTTGCAGACTACTTGGTTTTGTACTGCTGCCCTGAACTGCAGCTGAAGATCTCAAGTGTTGCACCCAATTTGCAGGAGTTTGTTGGAACTGATCCTCAAAGCAAATACTTCTGAGTGAAGTGCAAAGTTGAGTCATGGTGTTGAACAACAAGATGATTAGATCCGGGGAGGAAGACTTAAGGAGGTTCTCCTTATCAAACCCTCCTAGCATGCAATGTACATAAGTGCCTGACTTGGATTTGTTCAGCTAGTTAGCTATGCTTAGCTAAACTAAGCTATATCATGGGCCCCAAATTAGAATCTTTTGATAAGCTGATTACAATGAACAGGTTAATGATTTTTTACAAGCCATTATGAAAATGTTCTGAGATTGCCTCAAGATAAACAAGGATTCCAGTTGGCAAAACCATCAGAACTACAATGAAGCAAGATTTAGAAAGGTGCTGCAGAGCATGGAAAAAAATCTAGGGCTTCTTAGGTTTCCTTGGTTTAAATACTAATGTTGGACAGGATATTTCAGGAGGGGAGAGAGAAGTGGGAAATGCAAAATCTAGATCCTTCTCTGGACTTCCAGGATCTGTTGAAAATTGTCACTTCTCCCAGGTGTGAGGAAGAAGACAAGCTTTATAAATTGAGACCTGCATCTCCTCTAAAAGCATAGGAGTGCTCCGTTCTATATTCTTCAAATGAGTCAACCTGGTTTTCTTAAACAGCATAGCCTCATAGCTATGGAGGAGCTTGCCTAAGCCTCATAGCACTGCTGAAATCCTATTAGCAAAGAAAGATCCAAATGGAACCTTTTATTGTCATCTCCTAGAAATGTCAAGGTATTGTTTATGTTCCTTTGTGTCACATGTAACGGTTGCACAATGCTAGTCCTGTAGTGAGGAGTAGACCTATGTAGTCAGTGTTTTATGGTTAGGCTGGGAGAGCCAAGAAAAACAACACGAAATTTATCAAACAGCTTTATCAAAGTAACACAGAGATGCCATCGTTTACTGAGACCAAATATTTAATTAAAACATTATGATTCAATCATATCAGCTAATTTTTTTAACTAGCAACTAGTGCATTACTGTAACAGCCCTGGTGCAGTTCAAGGTCAACTAAATCAGTGTTTTGAGTCACTTCCCACATTTACCAGACTGAATAAAAGCAGCTAATCAGATAACTCGATGAGAAGATCACTGTCCTTTTGTAACAAGCATTTTTGTACTCCTTCCAATTTTATCCTTTATGTAAGGCACCAAATTAAACTGAAGCTTCAAAATTCACTAAATCATGACCTGACTGTCTTTAAAAAAAAAAAACAAAACAAAAAAAAACCAAAAAATAACACCCCCCCCAAAAAAGGGTGAATATCTCTAGTTGATGCCCACATACTATTTCTATCTGAGAGAGATTACATGTGCACTTTGCTGAACAGGAACTGAGGGTACTGGTGGACATGAGCTGGACATGAGCTGACAATGTGCACTCACAGCCCAGAAGGCCAACCATATCCTGGGCTGCATCAAAAGAAGGTGATTCTGCCCCTCTACTCTGCTCTGGTGAGACCCCACTTGGAGTACTGCGTCCAGCTCTGGAGTCCTCAGCACAGGAAAGACATGGACCTGTTGGAGCAGGTCCAGAGGAGGGCCACGAAAATGATCACAGGGATGGAACACCTCTCCTATGAAGAAAGGCTGAGAGAGTTGGGGTCCTTCAGCCTGGAGAAGAGAAGGCTTCAGGGATACCTTATTGCAGCCTTTCAATACTTAAAGGGGGCTTATAAGAAAGATGGCGGCAAACTTTTTAGCAGGGCCTGTTGCAACAGGACAAGGGGTAATGGTTTTAAACTAAAAGAGGGTAGATTTAGACTAGATGTAAGGAAGAAATTTTTTACAATGAAGGTGGTGAAACACTGGAACAGGTTGCCCAGAGAGGTGGCAGATGCCCCATCCCTGGAAACATTCAAGGTCAGGTTGGACGGGACTCTGAGCAACCTGATCTAGTTGAAGATGTCCCTGCTTACTGCAGGGGGGTTGGACTAGATGACCTTTAAAGGTCTCTTCCAACCCAAACTATTCTATTCTATGATTCTACTGGCATATAAACAACACTGCAGAGAAATGGTGATTCTTTGCCCAAAGGGATGTCACCTATCATCCTGAGCCATTCCAATGGGGAAGACTGGTTGGCCCATCAAGAAACAATGGGTGCGTGACAGCTCGTATTGGAGTTTCACTGCATTGCCGCAATGCAACGTGCCCAGTTCCAGCACCAAGAGGCAGGACAAGAGGTTGCTCTTGGTCATTTCTGAGTGGGAGGAAGTCTGGATCCATCCAGCATGGAATCTGGCCCAGGCTTCTTGTTCTTTCAACACAGCTGTCTGGCCTCTGCAGATCTCTGCTGGTTTAAGTAGTCTAGTGTGGAAAAGCAAGCAGCAAGTACCCACCCATGTGCTGTACTGTCACCGTTATGCTAGGAGTAAGCAGAAGGCCTGCAAAAACAAATGGAGCAAGTATCTGCCCCTTCCTTTCAACTAGCAACTCATTCTTGAAAAGTGTGACACCCACAAAAAATGCTGACTATATATAACTGAAGTCAGAGACAAAAGTCTAAGGCTGCACAAAAATTCTCTAACAGATCAGAAGTGTAGAAGAGGAGGGAAACCCGCCTTTCAGTGTCTGTTTGGTAATTCACTAAATCAAAAAGATAGTGCTGTTAGTTTTCATATCCTGGAGATGCAGGTCTGCTTTGCAAAGAAGGGGCTAGATCCTCAGCTGAAAAGACACTTAGATAAGAACATTTTCCCTTTCTTACCCTTTCCCCTAAGGAATTTGCAAGGATTTTGATCCTCCCACCAAATATACTTTTTCAATGCATTGGCTGTTTCCCCACTGTCATCCAAGCATAATTTCTGCACTTTCAGGCTCCTCAGAGAAGCAAAGACCTAGGGAGCATGTTTGCATTGCTGTGTACTGAAGCACTGTGGTGAGGCTCCTGCTCATTACCCTGATAAGGTTGGTACTGCAGTTTGGAGGGAGGCTTAGGCTGTACTGCGAGGCCACAAAGCAATTGCTCCTGTTTATCCATATTTAAGACATATTTAAAAGACTTAGGTGGGGGTTATACATTGCCACTGGTTTTGTTCTAAGTTAATGAGCAGGAAAGACTGTCATTCAGACTCAGTAACAGCCATAATCAGAAGGGAAAAATCAAGTCCCATCAATCAAAAAAGGGCAAGAACTACCTTTAAGAAAGATGTATTATACTTACTTGAGACGGTAGAAGATCTGACATTTATTCGCAGCGACCCTGTGTATTTTTTCAGGCCCCTCCGTAAGATCCTTTCAACTCTTTCTCGCAATGCTTCTCTAGAATCCGTGGAGGAGAACCAGAATGTGAGCAAAGCCTCTGCCACCACACCATCAGCATCTGGGCTACAAACCAATGAAACAGTCTGGTTACCTTCAGCCCATTTCTGCATTTCTTAAGTTTTTATCTTAGCTCCTCTAGCAATGGCAATGTAACATAAAGGATTAGATAGATTTTTGAACATTTTGTACATTTTTGAGAGAAGGAATTGCCAAAAGAAATCCAAGCAAATACTTAATGGTCAAACGCGTCTTAGGCTAGAGGGTGGCATGATGCTTTCTGTGAACAAATAGCCAGACCAATGTTATAATGGAGTTTAAAAAGCAGTCGCTGACTACGTGCTTGGGACACAAGAGCAGGAGGGAATGAACTGATTTGATTGCAATGAAAAGCTGGATACACAGCACTTCAGAAGCATCAGGTAGATGGCTAACGGTATCTAAATAGACCTTTCCAGGGCCCTGTACATACACAGAATAAACATTTCCAATCATCATCAAAAAGGTACTTGAGCAAAGGGGAGAGACCACACAACCCAATTCCACCACTGCAACCTCTTGGGAGAATGTGAATGGAACCTCAAGTTATGCAGCAATAAATGAAACTCGGCAGCATATCCACAATCTGCTTATCACAATCCAAGAGACGGGCCACAAAAGTGGCCTTTAACATCTTACTGAAAAGTACAAGCAGCACGCACACTAGGACACACAATTCCACTGTTTTCATGTAAGATCAGAGGAAAGAAAAGGAAGAAAAATCTTCTAACGGACTGAATTCACCCAGTAGTAGTATTTATTTTTCCTTAAAGCATCAGATACTGCAAGAGACTGAATGCTAGACTACAAACACCAAAGTGTCTAATCTGGTATAGTAAGTCTTGCTTTGTGCTTGCACATGGCTTATCCTTGGTCATTACAGAGGGAAGATAAGAGCGTGCACCAAGAACCTTCTCTCCCATGCCTCCTCCTACCTGAACCAAGAAGCAATGACACAACCCACAACAGGTGGAATCACAGTTACTTCATACAGGGGCAAGCTAAAAGCAGGTTGCTCTGTCTTAAGCATCATTCAGATAGGAAAGGAAAAGAGAAGATCTTCCAGTTATATCTCACTATCTTGGAAATTTGTAATTATATAAAGGAAAAATAAGAAAATTAAAATAGAAGGCAAGTAGCTTATACAAAAGTCATGCAATCAGGCTATGATGTTCAAAAGGAACCTGCACCAAAATGAAACAGACA